GGGTCCGGGCTGGGGATTCGAACCCGCCACCTTAGGTGTACGTGGCTGGCGCCTTAGCCCGTTGAGCTATAGGCGCCGAGCCGTGAGAGGATACTTTTAAGGACCCATTTTCTCTTTGACTCTCAGGTTCTGCCTTCTGCAGCGTCAGCCCATCTGCAGGGCAGTCCCTGGCAATTACAGACACTCCTACTGTGGCAGCCAAGTGGCTGCAGCTGTTCCTGCCCTCATGCCCTCAGGCCTCACCAGAAAGCGAGAAAGGTTTTTTGGTAGTAGCTCCTTTACAAGGCCTAGGGTTTTCTCTGCCCCGTTAGTCTAGGTTGGGTCAGTGGATTGGGTGGATTGACTCAAACTAATCAGTGCTGCACTGCTGGAGCTGAGAGGTGGGTCAGTTCCACCAAAATGCAGGGCTGTGAGTAGGGAGGGTACTGCTGTCAGGAGGAGGAGCTGGGGAGTGGGTGCTGGGGGTCTTAGGCTGGACCTCCTCAGGCTGGTGCAGCCCACGGTGGAGTTAGAGCTCATCAGACATGTTGGACGATGTCTTGGGTTGTCGAAGGGCCTGGAGAAGGGAGGCCCATGAATCCTGCCTAGGGGCTACGCCATTTGGGGGTTTCCTGTGGGTGGAATTCAGTGGGGTCGAGCAGGCAGTACTTCCCCACTGTGGATGGATGTTACTTCAGCGGAAGCTGCATGAGCATGCGGGATGAACGGAAGACAGAAGTTTTCACTTGGTTTCCCTGTTGTCAAATGGAGCTGATCACCTCTCTTCATGTTACCTGTGGAGGGAATGAGAGTAAGATGACTTTTGTGACGTGCCCCGGGCTCTCAGAGTTCCAAGGCACCAGCAGTGGAGGAACTGGCACCACTGGTGCCTGACATCGAGCTACATGAGCTCTCTGATGTGGCTGCCCAGGGTGTGGAGCTGCTTTAACAGCCTCTTGCCTGAGGGCTGGCCTTGGCACAGGGGTTGGCGTGACTGTAGGAAGCTGCTGCCGGGCTTTCGTGGGTGGAGGAATCTGCTGCCATTCAGAGTGGACTCAGGGAACAGACCTCTGAAGGGCAAGGGACAGGGATGGTGAGGATTCATGGGCTGTGGACGTGAGCCCTGGGACATGGAGCCTAGCCCTGCCACCAAAGTCCAGGCACGGGTTGGAGCCCACACGGGCTCATCTCAGCCTCAGTGCCAGCATATTTGCTGCAACAAGATAGCCTGCTCAGTCTCAGCGCAGAATGGGGCATGCTGGGCCCAGGAGTGGCTTTTCTCTAGCCAGGGGTCAGTGGAGCCTCTGTGCAAGCTTAGGACAGCAAGTTACTTGTTACTGTTGGGATTTCTCTATCTGAGGTCTAAGCTCGAGCAGCCATACATTGTCTGGATTCATATGAGCAGGGCTGTGCTCTAGCTAGAGACCAGACAAAGAAGGGACCTACCAGGGAGGAAGCTCTGAGTAGGGTAGAGAGCTCAGGGTCTGGAGTCAGGGAGACCCTGGTTCTCACTCAGACATCACTTCCTCCAGGAAGCCCTCTTTGACCACCTCAAGACCAGACAGGGCTCCCTCTTGTATATTTCCACAATTGCCTTTACTCAGAGCTGCAATTGCTGATTACCTGTCTGTCCTGAGCACCACCGTATCCCCCATGCCTGGTAATGCCCCTGACACTTAGTGGTTGATCAATAAATCATGATGAAGAGATGATGAGTGAGTGAGTGGGAAGAAGATACAGTGAACCAGGTTGTGGAGCCTGTGTGCCTCAGTCTCCTAAATCTGGTAGAATGGAGATATTTATAGTCTTTATCTAACAGGTAGAATTGTGGGTATCCACGATTCACATGAGCTAAAATATGTGAAGTGCTTAGAATAATCCCTGACACACAGTAAAAGCTCAGTGAATGTTGCCTCTTATTAACTCTTACAGAAGGAAGGGAGATGTGAGGTTAGGCCTGGTCTAAGGAACATGCTGGCTGGGAAGTGGGAGGCTCCCCTGGGCCTCAGCTATGCCCCTCTCCCAACCCCGTTTCTTGCACAGATGAGCAACAAGCGTTCCAACAGCTTCCGCCAGGCCATCCTGCAGGGCAACCGCAGGCTGAGCAGCAAGGCCCTGCTGGAGGAGAAGGGGCTGAGCCTCTCCCAGCGGCTGATCCGCCACGTGGCCTATGAGACGCTGCCCCGGGAGATTGACCGCAAGTGGTACTACGACAGCTACACCTGCTGCCCTCCGCCCTGGTTCATGCTCACGATCACATTGCTGGAGGCAAGGACTGGGGAGGGTAAAGGGGTGCTCTGCCTGGGGAGGAGGGCACGAGGGTGTGGGGAGCCGAGAGGGTGTCAGAGATCGGGGGGGGGAGGGGGGCTCCTGCTCCACCATGGGGTGATAGTTGAGCTTCAGTAGTAGTTGTCAGTGTAAGTCAGGCTAGGTATGGTGGCTCACACCTGTGACCCTAGCACTCTGGGAGGCTGAGGTGGGTGGATTGCTTGAGCTCAGGAGTTCAAGACCAGCCTGACCAAGAGCAAGAGCAAGACCCCATCTCTGCTAAAACATAGAAAAACCAGCTGGCCATTGTGGTGGGTGCCTATAGTCCCAGCTACTCGGGAGGCCGAGGCAGGAGGATCGCTCAAGCCAGGAGTTTAAGGTTGCTGTGAGCTACAGTGATGCCACAGCACTCTACCCAGGGCACAGTCTTAAAACAAACAAACAAACAGAAGTGTTGGGATAACCTTGGTCTGCAAAGAGGTATTCCAGAGATTATTATTTCAAGCAACAGAATCTCCACATGACCATATCCACAAGAACAACGCCATAGGGTCATTGATTTGGCCAACTCATTAAAGCCCATTTATTTTATTTTATTTCCTCTCTGAGCTGGTAACGGAGATGACTCATTTGCTCCCTTGGGATTCTATTTTCCCACCTGAAAATCAGGAGTAACCAGACTGCCCTCCCTCTCTCAGGGCGCTCTAAGTGAGAGAATGGCTGTGGGTGCTTTCTGAACACAAAAGCATCATGCATATACATCCAGGAGGGAGTTTATGAACAGGTAAATATGTGTTTAACATTCCTACAGAACATTCACCCCCTAGGGAGTCATCCATACCTATTGTCACGCTAAAATTCTCCTACTTATGCAACTGAATCCACACCACTTGCTGTGTCAGTGCCCCTGAGTGATGAAACTCTGAATTCTTTTTGCTGTTCAATCGGAGGACCTGTGCTGCTCACCCCAGCTCCAGCTTCTAAATAGATGCTTGGCTTCCCTTTGGTGTTTTATGATCTCCACTGTTTCTCTTCCAAAGCCACAGGCCTAATTACTGCCTCTGCATATGTTCTTGTAAAGTTCCTACCTAATCAAACGGCAGAATTGTGAAGCTTCGTGGCATCCTTCTTTTCCTTCTGTTTTTTCTAAATCAGAATATCTGGTGTGCAGGCCACAGCTCCTCTGTTTGTTGTTAAGGCTTCGTCCAAGTTCACGTTGAAGTTGCAATTTTTCTGTGATATTCTTAGACTTGTTCTCTAAGCACTGTGTTGGTCTATTTATTAACTTCCATTTGAGGACCAATACTAATGAGATGCCTTGGAAGCTGTATTTGCTGCCAGGATACCCACATGGTGTTAGGTGGACAGAACAGGTCCTTAGAGAGCCCAGGAGAGGACAGCTGCCAGGAGCCTGAGATGTTCCCAGGCTTAGACCACAAGGTTTTAACTGGACACTAATTATAGTTTTGTTCTCTGAGTGTGTGCTAGACATG